AAGGTGGAAATGGGGGGATTTGGGGTCCTAATTTGGGGATTTTGGGGTCCCATTTATGGGATTTTGGGGTCACAATTTGGGGATTTTGGGGTCTCAATTTGGGGGATTTGGGGTCACACTTGGGGATTTTTTGGGGTCACATTTGGGGGTTTTGGGGTCACATTTCGGGGATTTTTAGGGTCCTAATTTGGGGATTTTGGGGTCACAATTTGGGGATTTTGGGGTCTCATTCAGGGGATTTTTTGGGTGTTAATTTGGGGATTTTGGGGTCCGAATTTGGGGGATTTGGGGGTCACATTTAGGGGATTTTTAGGGTCCTAATTTGGGGATTTTTTGGGATCCCACCCAGAATTTTGGGGTTTTTGGGATGGAATCCCAAAATTCTTGACCGTTTTTGAGGTGGAATCCTGAACTTTTTACCTGAAATCCCGGGATTTTTTGGGGGTCCCACCCAGAATTTTTGGGGTCCTGGATGGAATCCCAGAGTTTCTTCATTTTTGGAATGGAATCCCAGAATTTTTCGGGATTTTTTGGGTGAAATCCTGAACTTTTTACCTGAAATCCCGGGATTTTTTGGGCTCCCACCCAAAATTTCGGGGTTTTTGTGTGAAATCCCAGAATTTTACCTGACACCCCCCCATTTTTTGGGGTCCCACCGGGAATTTTTGGGGTTTTGGGATGGAATCCCACAATTCTTGACCATTTTTTGGGTGAAATCCTGAACTTTTTACCCGAAACCTCGGGATTTTTTTATTCTCCCACCCATAATTTCATTTTTTTTTTTTTTCCCCGTGAAATCCCAAACCTTTACCCCACCCCCACCCCTCAATTTTTTGGGGTGTCCCCCCCCCCTCTCTCAGGTGCTGAAGGATCCCAACAAGCCTCAATCCAAAGGGAATTTCTGGACCGTGGACGTGTCCAGGATCCCCCCGGCCGCGCTGAAACTGCAGAACACGGCGGTGGCGAGGGGGGGGAGGGGCGGGGCCACCACCCCCACCACCCCCCCCCCAATATGAACATATAAAAGAAATGATATGAAAACCACAAAAGCTTACAGAATAACTCAAGGGGAAATCTCCTGTTCGTCCTCTCGGGGTGTCGCTACCCCCCCGCCCCTCCCCCACCCCCACATTCCAGCTTTTCCATCGATTCTTTGCTGCGGGAAGGCCCCGAGGGGCGCGGGGACCCCAAATTTGCTTCTGGGGGTTGTCCCCAAATTTGGGGACAGCTGCCTACGTCATACAGCACGGGGGTGGTGGCGCCCAACGCGGTGGCTCCCAGGGGGGGACCCCCGGTTTTGGGGTTGGGGTGGGGGGTGGTGCCACCCAACCCCCACCCAGGGGGTT